TTCACAGACGGCCTCCTTAGCCGTGACAGGACGGGCAGAGAGTTCACAGACATATACGGTCGCCATGACAGGACAGGCAAAGAGCTCACAAACGGCCTCCATAGCCGTGACAGGATGAGCAGAGAGTTCGCAAACGGCCTCTATAGCCGTGACAGGACGGGAAGTGAGTTCACAGACGGCCTCCATAGCCGTAACAGAATAAGCAGAGAGTTCGCAAACGGCCTCTATAGCCCTGACAGGACGGGCAGAGAGTTTACAGACGGCCTCCTTGGCCGGAACAGAACAGGAAGAGAGTTCACAGGCGGCCTCCATAGCCGTGACAGGACGGACAGAGAGTTCACAGACGGCCTCCTTGGCCGGAACAGAACAGGCAAAGAGTTCACAAATGGCCTCCATAGCCGTGACAGGACAAACTGGAAGTTCACAGGTGGGTACTACTGACACCTCTGGAGGTTCTGCAGCGGGTGCCGCCACCTCTGGAGGTTCTACAGTAGTGCCCTCAGGATACAGGGAGAGTTCGGCAAAGGTTCCTTCGACCTTGACATGACAGGTTGAAAGTGCGTTTCTGGGCGCCACCACCACGCAAGGAGCTGAAGCGAGCACCGCCGCTTCGGAGGGTTCTGCAGCATGCGCCGCCACCTCTGGAGAAACTGCAGCGGGCAACATTGCTTCGGGGAACACAGCAGCGAGCACCACTAACTCAGGAGATTCTGCAGCTTCTCCAGGCAGGGGCAAACAGTATCTGAATAGGGCAAGACGAGAGGGGGAATCCGAGGTACACAGGCAAAGATCAGGATACGAGAAAACAGACAAGGCAAGACTAAGGTAAGGCTATGAAAACTAACGGGCTCCGTAGAGTTGCTATCGCTAGGTGAGTGATATACGCTATACAATACTCGGCAATGGGAAGGGATCAGAGTGAGTGTTATATAGGGAATGTGTGATTGATTACAGCTGTGCGCAATCAACTGTGTGTGTGTAATCAGTGCAGTGGATGATGGGAACTGTAGTCCGGGTGAAGTGCAACAGTGGTGTGGTGCAAGAGTCCATAGTAGTGGAAGAGTGACCTCTGGTGGCGAGCAGACAGAAGTTCATGGACCGGATTCGTGACACATACACTCTTGTGAAATCAAATCCAAAATATTAAACACAGCACTCAATGTGGACAGACACACCATCAAATGATGACAGCAACCAAAAAAAATATTCCTCTCTCCTATAAATGCACACATAAACAGCACCAGCTCCAAATAATCAACAGTATGATTAAATGCTGTTAATTACAGTCAATTAATTAATGACTGTTAATTGTTCATTACAGTATAAATACTGTTTAAAGAACGCAAAAGTAAATTAATTAATGAAAGAAAGAAAGAAAGAAAGGTTAATTCTCATGAAATAAAATTGACTAAAATGAGACCCAAGCAAAGCAGCAGTGCAGTCACATTATTAGATGTATTTGTTAAATAAATGGAACTCTTTGATGTGCAGTTAAGCCTGTCGAACATGAAACAGCAAAATTACTAACAATAAAACAGACAATGTGTAATAATGGCAATCATACATACCAAGAAATTATACTAAGCAAATAAGCCTCTTGTCAGATTTGTGTTTCCGTTTTGTTGTTTTCCTTCCCATGTGTTCCTTGTTTTCCCTCTTGTATCATTATGCCCTTTTTTGGTCCTTCCTGTTTCCTGTTCCTATTATGTTTATTGATCCCAGGTGTTTCTCGTCATCCCCTCGTCATGTCGTGTATTTAAAGCGTTTCCTTTTCTGAGTTGGTTGTCCGGTATTGAATGTTTGTTCTAGTGCTAGGTGACTGACCGACCGACCGACCGACCGGTTTGGTCCTTTTTCCTGTTCCTATTATGTTTATTGATCCCAGGTGTTTCTCGTCATCCCCTCGTCATGTCGTGTATTTAAAGCGTTTCCTTTTCTGAGTTGGTTGTCCGGTATTGAATGTTTGTTCTAGTGCTAGGTGACTGACCGACCGACCGACCGACCGGTGTTACCCGAAGTTGCAGATTAAAGACTGTGTTTTGAGTTACTCCAGTGTCTCCTTGTCTTTCACCGTAGGCTCACCGTGACACCTCTCTATCTGAAAACAACCCATAGGAAAAATGTATTGCTCAATGGTTGCTCTTCGTTAACTCAGGAGAATTAGATAACATTCTCATATATCTCTCATTTTAGTATCAACAGCATTTCGGATGTTTCTCCTAAAATGCCTTAGGAGAAATAGAAGTAGACACAAATGAGACATGAGAAATATTTGAGAAAAAAAAAAAAGAGTCAAAGCTGAGAATGTGGTGGAAGAAATATAGAATATCTGTTTATTGTCTTGCTGCAATCTCTATCAAGACTCCAGTATTTAAATATTTCATTGCTCAGTGGTTGCTCTTTCTAAGCTCATAAGACTTAGTTGTGATTCTCATATATGTCTTATTTTAGTATCAAGTGTTTCAGATGTTTCTTATAAAATTCCTTAGGAGAAATTAAAGTAGACACAAATGCGACATGAGAAAGTTCTGAAAGAAAGTATTCCAAAATGACAATGTGTGAGGAACGTGTGAGATCTCTTTATTGTCTTGCTGTAATCTCTTGCAAGACTCCATTATGAAAATGTTTTACTGCTCAGAGGTTGCTTTTTTTATTGCAATGGGGTTTTTCACCTTTAATGGTCAGGACAGTAGGAGTAGAGACAGGAAACAACTGGACAGGTGAGAAGGGAACAGGAGAGTATCTTAGCTGGTCTCGAACTCATACTGTCTGAGGTGCGGTTGTGCCTTCACAGCAATGTGCTACCCACAAGGCTATGGCTCTGACAGAGGTTACTACCCTCAGGATACTACGGGGTGATTCTCTTATATGTCTCATTGAGATATCAGCTTTGTCTTAAGACAGTGGTTCCCAAACCTGTCCTAGAGCCCCCCCTGCCCTGCACCTTTTGTATGTCTCCCTTATGTAACACACCTGATTCCACTCATCAGCTCGTTAGTAGAGACATACAAAATGTGCAGGGCAGGGGGTCCTCCAGGACAGGTTTGGGAACCAAAACGTTTTTGTCTTAAGATGTCTTCAGTTTTATTTTAGGAGAAACGTTAAACTGTTACTAACTGTGTGGCGCAGGTGTCCCTCATTATCTTTCACTACACTGGCCTCACTCCGCTCCCACGGCTCTCGGCCCCGCCCCACTCGTCACACTAACATTGTAAATACTAAAACTATCATTTAAATAGCATTAAAGGCACAATATGTAAGTTTTCGCCACTAGAGGGTGCGTATTCAAAATAAATAAACAAAGAAAAAAAGGCGTAGTTTGATGAAGCCGTGACTGAGTGTGAAA